TTAGATTTGAAGATTTACGAAGTTAATAGTTAAAATATGTACTTTTAACAACTGATATAATTTTCATGCAGTGAATTAATTCAGTGAATTATAAAGATGACTTATGAATTATCAAAATATGCAAACCATTGGTTTATAGAAATTTCAAAACAAACAATTATTTTTCAGTGCCAAAGGTAACCTATAATTTTATATAAATACACAATAAACATCAGCAGCTCATTCAAGGATAAGAAATTGATAAGTTACTTGCATAATACAAATTAAGTTTATGTTTACTTTATATAGGAGGCATTGAGTTCAAACTGATCAGTAAATGAAATATAATTGAAAAGATGTGCAGAACCTTTTTATTGATTATTTCTTGATTATCATAACACAATGTGTGTATTAAATGATTGGTACTTATAAATAGAATGAAACCTTCATTAATTTTGTCTAGTTAATATTTGTAAGCTTAACTTTTAAAGTACGAGGCTTGTCCCATAAAATCGTGGACAAGTTGTCTGGTGTGAAAAATAAACATCACTGTGTTCTGAAATTTTCACTATTTTTTGGTACATATTTTAGTAATATACACAGCAAATTTCAGATAAATATATACATAAATAAACAAATTATGAGATTTTATGCCATGAATTGTATCACCTTACGGCGCATGGATTATAACGTCAAAGTGTCTAAAACATGCAGTGTCACGTTTTATCTTTGCTGAAAATGAAGTTGGATGAGTCCGACTTAACTTTAGGAATTTCATTGATACACATTCTTTAGTCTCCATAAACAGCCGAAGAACCAATTGGCATCCTCATGCGATCTTCTGAAGATTTATTAGTAAGTTTCGGACAATATTCTCACCATCATTCCACTAATAGAAAATCTCATATCGGCGGTCTACTGTGACAACGTCCTTTGCTATTACATTAGGAGTTTGTCCGTATGTTTTGTACTCCCCAGGGACTCGATCAGAAAAAAACTTCGCTAAGAAAACTCCTATTTCATTTGTATACTTAAGTTATGGTGATATTTTTATAATCTTCTTTCTTCTATATTATTTTCAAGTCTCTACAGGTGTCATTACAACATAGAAATAAAACTGAACTGTTCTCCGGTGCGCCGTAACGTCATAAAACGTCGCCATTTTTCGTGTGTTGTGTTTACTACTTTCCCATTTCGAATGCTCGAGAAACTGCCAAAAATTAAGCAAATGCCTTGAAATTTTTACAAAGACTACAAAATTGATTGTGGAATTGAATTAGGATAATTTTAATCCAAATCTTATGTATTTAAAACTTTTATTTTGAATTCAAACTTGTGTATTCTTTAGTAAACCCTTGGTTTTTTTGACCGTGCGCCGTAGGACAATACCTCGTGCACATTCAAGCATAATAAAATCTTTATTTTTGCCTATATTTTATCAAAAAAATTATCATGCACTTAAATATGATAAATAAACATTTACTGAAATTTTCAGCTTAGTGCGCCCATTACTTTTCGAGAAAAACGCTTTGTCCACGATTTTACGGGACAACCCTCGTAGTTGACAGAACAGAATTTTCGTTCACAGAATGTTTCGATTGTTTGTGAGAATAAAGTCCTCGGGAATATAATTGCTATTCTTATTTCTGTGATATGTACTAAAAATAATTTTAAAATTGAAGTTTATAACCCATTTATAAGATTGTAAAATGAGGGGTTTGTGTTGAAGATCTTTTTCTCAATCTTGCAACTTTAAGTTAACGATTTTTTGAAACAGTAAAATATACTTATTGTTTTTTATATTCAAGACACATTTTTTCTTATCTTTATGAATTGATTAACTGAAGCAACTTCCAACAAAAAATCTTTAACTAAACGGCGAAAATTGGTTTAAAAGTAAAATTTCAATCCATTTTTAATGAAAAAAGAAATTGAAATAACAGGCTTTCTCAGGAGACTGTAATAAGTAACTCTCAAGGATCTTCTTGCATTGTTTCTTCTTCTTTCGAGAGGAGATTCCATTGCTTCTCCAAGACCTGTAAAGAACATAGGTTATGCTACAAAACAACATTGTACTGTAAAATCATATATATTCGTGGGGTAAAATTTTTCGAGATTTATGGAAAGGAAATTGGTTTGTGGGGATTTTATTTCTTAGTTGGAAAATGTTTTGTAGTGATGCATATGTGGAATTTTTTCATTTTGTGGTGGTCATAAATTCATGGGGTCTTTCCATACCCCGAAAACAATGAAAATTAAACCCTCACGAAAATTTATTTGAATATGCAGTAAAACCCGTCTTATGCGACATTCAGTGGGAGACATTGTAGTAATGTAATTAAAAACATGAAGAAAACGAACAGTATATTCAAGCACGAAAGTCCATCAAAAATCAAAATAGGGGCTGAAAAAATGCAGATCTCCTAAACAACTATCAAAATAGTAAAATGATTATTAAGGAATCACTGTCTAGTTAGGAGGGTATGTCAGGGCATCAAGAATAGTGGGAACATGGGGTAATTTGCATAACGGGCGAAGCCCGTTATGCTTAAATTATCCCATGTTTCCCACTATTCTTGATGTCCCTGACATACCCTCCTAACTAGACAGTGATTCCTTATATTTCCATTTCATTGTGAAATGAAATTGTAGATTTAGACTTTGAAAATGTAGATAAATAGATTTAAATCACATGATGACTTCCATACCAATTTCAATAGTCCTCGCCAACCGACGTCAAACACAAAGACAGCCGCACGAGATTTACATGCATATTTGGCCTCCTTAGCGTCAGACACAGAGACAGATGCGCACAAGAATTGCATGCGTATTAGGCCTCCTTAGCTCCCGACCTATCGACCTGCCTAATTTACATTCCGGCAGAATTATCAAGAAATAAACTACCCCTAACTTTCAAAGAGTTATCACAGAGAAAAAAATTAGAAATGGATATATTGAAAAATAAAGGTCAGAAACGAAATACAAAGATTTCAGGTAAGTCAGGTTGACTGTCTAAAAAAAAGGACAAGGTCACTCTTGTTATTGTTTAACCTTTTTTTACACAACGCAAAATTACTAATCTAGAGCACTAATTTTTATGAAATATTCTAAACATGTTACATAACATGCAAGATCGTAAATCAAAATAAATGGATTCAGATTATCAAAAGAAAAAAAACGAAAACATAAATAACCCTATCAGTGATCATAGCTTAAAAGTGCTTCAACCCTAATATTTTAAGGGTTCAAAATAGTAAATATACATTAATTTCCAATTGGTATCGTTTAAAATATAATCAATAGTCACCAAAATGATAAATCACCTTCTTTTTTAAAGATATCAGAAACAATAAACACATCGTAGCCTACCTCTGTCTATGAAAATTTTAGTAAACAACATAATAAGAATCTCATAAAACTTCTTCAAACTACATCGATTTATTTTTGAATGTCTTATAATGTAATTTTAAAATATTTAATATACATATGTAAATATTATAAGCGTGGCGTAGCGTCCATTAAGACAAAAAGGCAAATGCTTTTTTTTCAAAATAAATGAATAATAAATTAATTTGTCAATGATAAATAAATTTTAAAAAGTAAATAAATTCATTGCATATATATATTTGGTAAAGTGCAAATTTACAATCTTGTTTCTTTTACTGGCGTTAGCAGTCAAACTGAGTAAAGACCCTGGGACATTCCTGCGATCCTCTTTGACAAATAAAGAAAACGTCGAATTTCTCACAACAAAATGCGAACCTTTAGTTACTGAAGTGTAATGTGTTATCATTCAAATTAAACCGAAATTTAGTATCAAATATAAATGCAGTTTCAATTTTAATCCTTTAAAACGATCTTTCAGCGTTCCTGATATATTAAATAATTAAAACTTTAAAATTATTTGACACAGATACAGGTAAATGCATAGGAAACGGGAGGGGCTATGACTGAATCGGCTAAGACCGAATCTCTCTCTCTCTCTCTCTCTCTTAGTAAAATTGATCTTTATATATTTCCAAAACAATGATATCATATTAATTCAACACCAATTTAAAAAAAAACAACAACAAATATTAATTTAAATTTATGACAATTGATACAAATGCCTATATGTATCATTTTGTCCAAATATTCAAATCTCGGGGAGGGTTTCAAAAATAGTAATCTGCTAAATAAATTCTTTCTAACTTCAAAAAAGATTTCATGTATACATGTACATTTAGGTGACAAATATCTTGGAAATCTAAAAGAGTTTGCTTAAAAAAAATTACAAGATCTGACTGTTAATGGGTCACTGTGCTATAAACAAGCATACGTATTTTATTTAAATTAACAGTTTTCTTTTCTCAAAAAGTGCTTATTTTGCGTCTAGTTTTCAAAATCTTCTCGGAGGAGGTCCCCCAAACCCCACTTGCAGGAGGGAGTGACCCCCTCCAGCACCTACCCCCTTTCAGCGCTTCGCTACTCAGTGAAGCCTTTAGCTTCATTTCCCAGTGCCTACACATATATTTGATGCACGCTACACCACTGAACTGTCAGACAGAAATCAGGAAAAAAAAATAAACCTGCATAATTAAGAAAATTGTTTAACATTTTCTAATAAATCTATTTTAATTTTTATAAACATTTATATGCATTATTCATATTGACTTAATATCATGGTTTTGAGAAAAATCGATGAAATAACATGAGAGTAGAAATAATGAAATTCAAAGATGCCTAAGAGCATCGATGCTCTCCTAGAAAACATGGTTTGAATATGTAGGTAAATTAATAAATATAATTTAAGTCTTTAGACCTGAAAATGAAATTCTTTTGAATAATATCACACTTGATATCGTGATTTCAATAATAAATCACCTTTTGAAAGACGACTGAACATTGTCGGTTGAAAATAATATTATAAAATACAATATAGTTACTTAGTATGCAATTTATAGAAAAAAAACTATATTTCCTGCTTGCTCTTTAAAAATTTAGTATAATGGCTGTTGATAAAATGTAAATACTTGCCTCCATCCGTTTGTTCATTTCTTGGCAATATTTATCTATCTGGAAATTTCTTTTCACTAGTGTCTCTATTCTAGCATTTTCCCTTTTTAATTCCTTTATATAATCAATCCATCGCCTGAGTACGGAAAGAGAATCTTGCTCCATTTTCCTATAAAGTACAATTTCAAATGCAAGAATAAGATGAAAGGTAGTTAAAATTTTAAAGTTGCTTAGACAAAGATTTGATATTATTATGTTCTCAAATTTTTTGTGTAGTTTCACAGTGACTTAAATTTTGCTATCATGCGAAAATTAAATAAAAATCTTATTTTTTCTTGAAGTTATTGAAACTTTGAATTTCTAGAACATCCTTACACTTTCTCAAATTTTACTTTATTCTTAATACTTGAGAAAAGTAGAAAATTTGTTGTTTATTAATGAAAAATATTAAAACTATAATCCAGAAAATTCAGAATAGAAATGTGCAAAAGCAAACCCATTCGCTAGTATTGTCAGCCCGTGCTCAATGTTATGTACAGAGTTGAACACACCCCTGAAACGTACACTGTTTTTAAAAAAACAGGGCACGAGCTCTGTTCTTTCACCGCGTGTTTTCAATTATTAAACTCTGCACACATCGCTATACATCAAATCTGTGTCTAAGCAATTACAATAATCATAGTGACGCATTTTTTTTTTATAAGAGCTTTAGATTTTTTTGTCTGTACATGTTCAGATCTTTTGTACATGTACATTCTATCTTTTTTGCGAAGTTGTAACTTTTTAAAAATATATTTTTGTACAGGTACAAAGTGCAAGAAATGTACATGTTTAACAGACACAAATATAGGTCGTGTGATTTTATTTTAGACAAGCTGATATCGGCCATCATAGAGAAGGATACTAATATATGGATAGAATATGTGGGAAAAAAATTACGTCCTTGTTGTCTTTTTTATTTTAAATAATATGTTTTTATTTCTTCATTTTGAAATTAATGTATTCATATTATCAATAAAGCATGAGTTTTTGGTTTTGCATTTTTTTTTTCAAGAATGTAAAAAAGGGCTTGTTGGTAACATGCGATTAATATTATCAAGCCAGGAAATGTTAAACACTAATATAATTAATTACTTTCTTATTGATATTCAAATGTTAATCCAAGAATTGTATAGACAATTTGCATGCTTTTTGAAAATGTCTAAAAGCTAGTATTTATGCGTGAGAAAATTAAATTTCTGTGCTTCACTCACTACTTATTTCTAAATAATTATTTTCATCTTTATTAAAAAAAAACCTTTTATGAATTTTTTAAAACTAAACATATAAATATTTATTAAAGTTATTGATAAAAATACTCTGTATTTAATACACTAATGATAAAATGAACTATTTCTTTTAGGAATTTAAAATATTGCTAAAGAAAAAATAGACACTTACCAACAACTAGTAAGTTGAAGAATTTTTTGCAATTTGTTTAATTTCCTTGTCAAATCTGTGGATTTTCAACACCCCTTAAAAAATAAAATAGAAATAAGGCCCCTTTCTTTATGGGTTTGTTTTTATTTTCCTAAAATCATGTGTCTGTGTCATATTGTCAAAAACAATTTCAGAATAAGAACTAATTTTCTTCATTTCTTCTCAAAAATGTGACTTTGTAACTGATTTAGGTGATAAAACTTTCTTCTATACCATCGGAAAGATACCATTTATAAATTTAATTTGAAATCACTTCAAAAACAGTGATTTGATATTGTTTGTTAAAAAATGAAAACAATATTTATACATTTAAATGTACTTCAAGTAGGAATTCTGACAAAAAATTAACTACACAAGGTACTCGTTTTGCTGTCACAATGATAAATATTGTATTTTGATACCTGCACATTTTCTACATTTACTGTTAGATGTGTACGCGATAAATGTGAAAACAATCATGATCATTGTCTTATTTAAATTTTTTCACTTGTTTTGAATACTTAATTTTAATTTAATGCCAGAACCCATCTTTAAGATTTAACTCAAAAGAATATATATATATATATATATATATATTTTAATAAGTCTTTCTTGCATCTTGTATACGTACCTTTTGTGTTTTCCTTGTTATGTTTCCCTTTTATATATCTGATCATTTAAATGTTGTAACACCTTTTCCTCATCTGCAAATGTGATTTAAAGTTTCTTACTCAACTGGGTTTTCTTTCAAACGAATACTTATGCAATAATAAAACATCAATAGGGGCCATATATGGTCGCCCTCATTTTAACCAACAAAAGGAAAGTGCTCCAAATGCAAACAAAAATGCCCCGAGCAATGCAATACGCAGATTATAAAAGAATCAATGACACAGTGACCTATTTTAATTTGTTGTCAAAAGCTAAAAAATGGAATACTGTGACAATTTCTTGTTTAGTATTAACCATGTTAACCTTTAAAATTCATTCAAGTTTTGCATAAGAATCTAAATAAGGATGATTAATTTAGTCTTCTTAAAACATAATTTAACTACACAAGGTACTCGTTTTGCAGATGAGGAAAAGGTGTTACAACATTTAAATGATGAGATATATAAAAATTAATGACCTTGTATGTATTTACCCTGGAGCAAAGGACGTGGTCTCAAGGTCACTTCAAAGTTGACGTAACTTTATACTTAATAAAAACGTTTATATTTTGCTTATTATTAAGACTAGGATAATCAAATCTTGTAAATTAATGTATCTTAGGACTTTCATCATGTTAACTCAAAAGTAGATCGCGGTGACCTACTTTTGTAATTTTTCGGGCATTTGTTTTCAAATTGATTTTACGGCATATTTTGGACACTTTAAGGCCTATGATCATCAAACTTTGTCAGTTGATGCATCTTTGGTCTGTGGAAAACGTCAATCAAATTGTAGGTCACGGTGGCCTACTTTCGACATATTAGGACTATATTTTAGTATCTTAGGTACTTATTGGCTTAGAATCATCAAATTTTGTCAGTTGATGCTTCTTGGGTTTCCGAAGAATGAAGACCAAAAAGTAGGTCACTTTGACCTACTTTCGAATATCTCAGTTACTTAGTGGCTTAGGATCATCAAACTTTGTCAGTTGCATCTTGGGTTTTTCGAAGAATGATGACAAAAAAGTAGGTCACGGTGACCTACTTTTGACATTTTATGGCCATATTTAAGTATCTCAGGTACTTATTGGCTTAGATTCGAATTGGCTTAGAATTATCAAACTTTGTAATGCTTCTTGGGTCTTTGGATATGTTGACCAAAATGTTGGTCATGCTGACCTACTCTCAACATTTTATTACTATATTTCAGTATCTTAAATACTTATTTGTCATACTTTGTCTGCTAATGCATATTGGGTTTTCCAGAATGACGACTAAAAAATAGGTCACGGTGACCCACTTTTTACATTTTATGGCTAAATTTAAGTATCTCTGGTACTTATTGGCTTAGAGGTCATCGAACTTGGTCAGTTGATGCATCTTAGTTTTTTTTAGAATGATGACCAAAAGGTAGGTCATGGTGACCTACTTCAGATATTTTACGGCTATATTTAAGTATCTCGTGTACTTATTGGCTTAGAATCGTCAAACCTTGTCATTTTATGCACCTTTGGTTTTTGGAGAATGTCTACCAAAAAGTAGGTCACAGTGACCTACTTCTGAATATCTCAAGTACTTATTGGCATGGAATCATCAATGTTTGTCAATTAATGCATCATGAGTCCTCAGAAAATTTCAATCAAAAAGTAGGTCACTGTGACCTACTTATGGTATTTTATTGCTATATTGAAATATTTTCAGTCCTAACTGGCCAAGAATCATCAAACTTTATCAGTTGATGCATTTTGGGTCTTAGGACACTCAAAGTTGGAGGCTTAAATAAAAGTGATAGATTGTACAATTTATCAGACGAGCGATTCAAGGCCCTTGGGCCTCTTGTTTTCATTACTAAATTTGCATACCTTATCCATTCTTACAAAATATTAAAGAAAAATAAAGGATAAAGAAGATAAAATATATCTGGATGTATTTAGAGAAAATTAAAAAATATGAAGCTAGTCTGATTTTTAACAAAGATGCTTTGTTACAAAATTTGGCTTAAATTGTGTATCTTGCTTCAATGGCTTTTTAATAATCAAGAACTCCAACTACGTTAAAACTGCATCTCAAAGAAATTGTGTAGCGTCTTTCGGTTCGAAGGTTATAAATAGAATATTTCGAGTGTTATTTTCGTTAAAAGTTGATCTATGAAGCGATGAACCTAATTTATATAACTAAGGGTTCTGTCTAAGATTAAAAAAAACCTATCATATTATATGATTTAAGAGATACTGCCTTTCAGCAATTTAAAGTGCAATGAAACATATCATATTCATGCACAATTATATTAATACCTATGCACTTTTCACTTTCATTAACTGCGTGCAAGATAGAACGCTTAATATTACCATCAATTAACTGGTTTGTTTATATTCAACCTTGATCTACTTGCAGTGCCATTTGACATTTTGCATCTTTCATCAGCAGAAATAAAGTTTCGTAACTCCAATATGAATATCATTAACTGATTAAGATATGACACTCGCCAGCTTTTTAGGTAAGTTCACATAGAATCTCTTACTTCAAAACTTTTTGTTATAATTTAATCTTTACCACATATTTAAATTCAACGATATTAATTGTTCAACATTCAATGAAAAAACTGCTCAAATTTTCACAAAGAAGCAAGATTAGTGAGGGACTATTTATTGTGATTGAAGGATATTTAGCATAACATTCTGCAAATCAGCACATTTATAGAATTTAATATTGAGGAACTTTAGCCTCACATACCTTTACTCGAAGAATATTTTCCAGAATGAAATTGCTAGGAATATTTAATATAGGTCTCAATTTATAATTTAAGAACTACTTTTAATCTTCCCTCAACAAACTTTGCCGAGAAATGAAGATATGTTAAAGAATTCAAGATAAAAATTACACCCCTTTTCGCCTGCAAATCACATATTTTGACCAATATGTATTCTCCCTTTCGAAGAAGGGAGGCCATATTGCTTTGCTGCTGTCTGTCGGTCGGTCTGTCGGTTCACTTAGTTTCCATTCATTTTCTTCACAATCGTTCCACATACGGAAATGAAATTTGGTATACAGATATATCAGATATATATCTAGACCAAGTTCTGTTTTGGATACGATCGCGCCATTTTTGGCAGAGTTATGCCCCTTGGACGTAGAAAATTCAAATTATTTGCAGTTTCCTTTCATTTTCTTCGCAGCGGTTGCACATACTGAAATGAAATTTAGTATACAGATTTATCAGATAAATATCTAGGTCAAGTTCTCTTTTGGATATGATTGCGGCAGTTTTGACAGAGTTACGTCCTTTGGACTTAGAAAAATTCCAATTATTTGCAGTCTCTTTTTATTTTCTTCTCAGCGGTTGCACAAATTGAAATGAAATTTAGTGTACAGATTTATCAGACAAATATCTAGGTCAGTTCTGTTTTGTGTACAATCGCACATTTTTGACAGAGTTATGCCCTTTTGGACTTAGAATAAATTCCAATTATTTGCAGTTTTCTTTCATTTTCTTTGCAGAGGTTGCACATACTGAAATAAAATTTAGTATACAGATTGATCAGATGACTATCTAGGTCAATTCTGTTTTGGGTACAATCGCGCCATTTTTGACAGAGTTATGCCCTTTTGGACTTAGAAAAATTCCAATTTTGGTGAAGGGGGGCATAAGTGTTTTACAAACATCTCTTGTTCAAAATAAACATTACTGACCCCAAGTTTTTCTTTCATCATTTTAAACTGCTTAATACTTGTGACTGATCAGCATTTTTCTTAAACAGTTTGATACGAGAAAATGTTTTATTGCCTATATAGATTTCAATACCCTAAATATGTTCCTTTTTAGTGCAAAAATGCTATACAACAAATCACACTCACTAATTTGCAAGATTTGTTAAATGATAAATATTATTCAAGCTATTATATGTAAAATAAATAAAGGTTAAAGAAATCAATCAAAGACTTACAATTTAAACGAAAAAGGTCAACTTTATTGTACCGTAGCTCAGTAACAAACACTGACCCCTATTCTATTGCTATATGAGTACTTACATCCAAAATATACTTCTTTTTATCTTTGATAGAGCAAATTGCATGAGTGACATACCTTAATAATATAACTATATTTCCTATTTTTTACTTATGAGTGAATGAAAAGAAAAAAAATAATTTGGAACCGTCTGCAAAATCTTTCAGATTTAGAACTCTATTCGTATTATGAACAAGTAGAAGATCTACGATGTATTTACGTTACGTCTTTTAACATTCTTTTTTGCTTTAAACAAATGTTTTTATCGTAATCAATATTAAACAAGAAGTATCTGAAGTCATCTTTAGAACAGCTTACGATACTAAAAGGATGTAATAATGCTTTTATTTTGAGTAACAAAGAGTTTATTTCAACATTTCAATAGGAGTTTCCTTTCCCTACCCATTTTAGTGTTCAAGAATATCTTTTTTTTAAATTACGTCATATAATTGGAAGATAAATAGAATATTAGTTTAAAAAATACACGGCTTCCTGAATATCATTATTTTACGAATGTAAAGGAATGCACGTAAAACTTTGAATAAGAAAGAAGGCACATCAAAAAGCATGTTCATAATTTCTAGTTTTATGTCCCATCACAATATGATTTTTTTTTGTACACAATATGTGAGATTCAGTCCAAATTAATGATTTATATAGTTCATCATATCATCATGAATTAATGGGACAAGAAAAAGAAACTTAGAAATATCCAAGCATTTGAAATAATGAGATTAACAGAATAAAAAAAGTTCGGAATTTCAATCATATTTTGATATATTTACCAGTTTCTCTTTTAAATATTTAAGCTACAATGAAAATATGCTAAATGTATTCCATTAAATGGTATATTGTGATAAAAAAAAACGAAAGAGCATGTCATTTCTTATCTAAACAAACAAAATATGGGTGAAATATTTGTTAATCAACTCTTGCACATTGCATTGTGAAAATATTAGATTGTCATTTCAACACTCTTTACAAATTGTTAAATACTTCTTCTTTTTTTTCATTCATCTTCTTAATCTTTACACATGAATATTTTTTTGCACAAAGCAATACATATCATTCACCTTTTCTCTATTCCAATAATCGTGAAACTCAAATGTTAAGGACAGATGATACTGTCGAGAATGTTGTGGGTTGAGATCCCGAAGATATGAAAAACACGTC